TATTTATGATAGACCTACACACATGCAGCCACAAAATGCATCAAAATACATTTTTCTTTTAGTTATAAATAAATGGTAGGACAGAGACAGAGCCAGCGGCAGAGCAAGAGAGATGGACAGAGATCGGGGGAGAGGGAGAGGGAGGGCACAGAGACCAGCGCCTTCAATGCGAAATTCCTGAAATGCGACAAGCAGCAGCAGCAGCAGCAGCAAATATGCAAAGTTTTTGATTCAACTCATATAGCATGTTGTTGTGCTGTTTGTGTTCGTGTTTCTATTCATTCAGGTAAATCGACTAGAACTTGTGCCTGTTGCCTCCTCCTCCTCCTCTCACCTGGCCATCTCTTGATCTGCTGCCACCTTTGCGCGAATGACTTTTCGCGTCTGCGCTTTGGCCAAAATTATTCCTTCACTCACATCCAAGCAGAAGCAGCAGGAGGTTTTGTTGTCTGAGGCAGTGACAGTTTAGCTGCAGCGACTTCAAGGCACGTGTTGGCTTTCCTCAATCTCAATCTCAATCTACATTCTGATTGTCTCTTGTCTCGCTGGCATTGGCTGTGATACAGGAATCTCGAATTATTCTCACCATTGTTGATCCTTCAGTTGGTCTTCTGCGTGCGCGTGTGTGTGTGTGCGCGTCTGTGAATTTTATTTTGCCCGAAAAGCTAGTATCACTGGAGATCGCTTACATCGAATAACTATAAATCAGACAACATGAGTGTAAGTTGACAAACTGATGATCGTGTGTGTCTTCGAATATATATAAATTGGAATACCTCAAAATGAAAATGAGAAAAAATGGCTGGGGATGTTTAAAAATTCGCTTCTGATTGATTTACTTTATGAAAATACAAAGTTCCAGCCGCAACCGAAAAACATTGGTGTAAATATATTCGCTGTTATAGAAGCCCAATTAAAGCAAAATTCTATATGTGGACATTTAATGAGTTCAAAACGTCAGTTTTTATTTCCAAAAGAATTTTTCTATGTAAACTTTTCTTTATTAAAAAGTGCTTAAGAAGGAAAGAGTCTCTAAGAAGCAAATCAAATATCATATTAAGTAAATTCTAATATTTACTGTGACCAATCATTGTGGTTGTACTTTTCATTTGATCGTTATAAGAATTTTACAACTTAGCTGCGATGTTTTCTGATATTTTTTGTCGGTGCAAATCTTGTTTTAAAGATATAAAAGAAAATGTATATAATATGAATTGAACTAGCTAAATACGAATGGAGAAAAGAAACAAATTATATCACATAAAATAAGACATTGATCTGTAAAAACATTGGTAGACTTACTCTATACTATACTCCTAGAGTGAACAAATAAATTTGATTAGGTAAATATCAAAGTATTGTGCTGGCAAAAATATAGTTAAAGAGTTGTTAAAAGTATTTCAGTCATTTACAGGATATCTCCTAGTCTTGTGGCTACATCAAAATTGCATATTTATTTATTTGATTTGCAATCTGCTCTTTATACAATAAGCTAATTATATAACAGTTGTGATAAATGAAACGCCAGATTGTATTCAAAGAGCTGATCTATAATTAGATTTAGCAAATCAGATTAGACAAAATTATAATAAGAAAACATGAGAAAACTGTCTTGACTGTATTTTCCCTCCCTTTCATTGCAGGACGAACTGACAAAGGAGCAAATTGCACGTAAGTCGATTCATTGTGACTCTCATTGTGAATGAATGAATACAATTTTCTGCTTTTGCTTTTCCGCTATTCAGTGCTGCGCAATGCCTTCAATGCATTTGATCCCGAGAAGAATGGATACATCAACACGACGATGGTGGGCACCATTCTGAGCATGTTGGGCCACCAGCTGGACGATGCCACGCTGGCCGAGATCATTGCCGAGGTGGACGAGGATGGCTCGGGTCAGATTGAGTTCGAGGAATTCACGACCCTGGCAGCCCGTTTCCTCGTTGAGGAAGATGCCGAGGCCATGATGGCCGAGCTAAAGGAGGCCTTCCGGTTGTACGACAAGGAGGGCAACGGCTACATCACCACCGGAGTTCTCCGTGAAATTCTGCGCGAATTGGATGACAAACTGACAAACGATGATCTGGACATGATGATTGAGGAAATTGATTCGGATGGCTCCGGCACTGTTGACTTTGATGGTGAGCGGCTGAGGGGATTGGAAGTTGAATATATATGTAATATGCATTTAATATTATATTTTGTTTTTCTAGAATTCATGGAAGTCATGACAGGCGGCGATGATTAGGCTGAGGATGATGCACAGCTCGCGGAATTAAATAAATTCATATCTTTACAATTAGTTGTATCGGCTACAGTTTGAAATCCATCAAAATTCTAATAAAATATAAATTGAATTATAAATTCAGCATGTAAAAAATAAAAATTAAATCACAATGCAACATGTTTAATATTTAATTACATAAAAAATAAAAATAATTGTAATAAAAAGCGGAAATAAAAAACCTAGAAATATTATAGTCTAAGTCCTGCTAGGCCTACACAATTTAGTATTATTTGTATAACAACGTCGTGTTAGTTTTTTCACTTCTGCTCGAATTTCATTCTTCGTCTCTTAGCAATAAAAATGTAAATTTGTAATACTCTATATAACATCATATGCGTTTCAGTCCAGTCAACAATAGCCGTTAGACAACAGGAAAAACACTCGAGTCATCAGAAATCTAATTAAAAGTCAGATATTCAAAATCAGTCGATTCAGTCAATTCCAGCTTGTTATCTCGTGCCGTTCATTGGCCAAGTCTTGATCTCTTCATCATTCATTGTTTATTATTTATCTATTCTATTGTTTATCTAGTTCTACATACAGATATCGACTCACATCTAAAGTTGCTAATTACAGCAAAGAACTCCATCTGGGTTTGTTTAAATGTAAAATTGAGAAGAGAAGAATGTGATATCTACATATATACCCTATAAAGTGTAAAGGCAGCAAGAATGAACGATTTGTTGAATAAAATACTGTATTAGATATTCTTTTAATTACCTCGCATTTTTATCTAAAAATTACTTTAATGATATATATTTCATTCATTATCTTTTACTTTCATTATTCATTATTTATTAACATTACTTAAATACAAAATTATATTTCGTACAGGGTATATAGAACTTTTGCCTTATAAATCTTATTGCCTACCTTGTGCCTTATTTCAATGTATGTCTATTTATAGGAAGTGTATTTTTATGCCCAAGTGAAAGAGAACACGATCAATCACAGGCGACTCTATGATCAACTTTGATGATAATGAAGTAATTTGATGGCAACATCAATGGCTGTCAATCATGTGAATACAACAGATAATTCAATGGCATTTATTGATTAAGCTCTTAATCGAAATGTGATAAGAATAATCCATATAGAATTTGTTTCCTATGATGACACTGCTCTAGGCGGATTTCCTGCATGTCAAGCATAATTGTGTGCCTCTCTTAGCATTATTAATTTATGGCTTAGCCAAAGTAAAGAGTTATACATATGAGTGTTTGTATGTGATTGTATATGTGTATATGTTTATATTGTTACATATGTATGTGTGAAATGTTGTATATATGTTTGCAATACATGATTTAGAATGAAGAAGCCTGTGACTGTAATTAAATGAATTGCAGTTTTTGACTTATGAAGCAGCAGCCAGTAAGTAAAAGTGATCTATTAATATTTGATTAAATTAGAATTGCCATTCAAGGATTTAAACTTCTTTCTTTCAGCAGATATTAGCTACACACGTAGAAAGCCTTTAGTTAAGGGAAAACATTTTTAATTAAATCAAATTAAATATATCATAGGTCATAATAATCAACAAAATACGAACAAATTCAGTATATCAAGGGAAACATCCAGGTGGTACTGAAGAACTTATTAAGGATGAGTGATGGCGAGTTTTAAAATACCTTCGATTGAATCTTTCAGGTATAGAGCAAGGCCAAGACGTTCTGCTACTCATTTGACATATATAAGTAGTTCGTTCGTTTAGGTCAACACAAAAACAAATAAGGAAAACATCGAGTATATTGTGTTTCTTAAACAGTATAAATCTTAAATATATATTAAATTCATGTGCATATCGCGCCCAGTAGATGGCGGTTAAAGAATGAAAATATATTTTTTATTTTTATTTATTGGTTGTCAGATAATCTCATTAGGCTATTAATAATGGTTAAATCTAGAAACATATTTCATACAGCCAATTTAGAATTTAGATACATACATTAAAGAAAAGGAAAGAACAAGAAAAGGGTCACAATTAAAATTACTGCAATAATTGCTTTAAGAAGCCAAGTTTGTTTCAAAGCTGTGCAATATACTTCTAATAAATGAGGACTAAATTTCGCTATTTGTAAAGATGAGCAATCAGTTTAGGATAAAGAAATTGGCAATCAATAATAACAAAGGCCACTGTTATTAAATAAATAGAAATCAGAGTTTAGTATTTTAGAATATTGCTAATCTACTTAATAAAAATCTGCAAGCAGAATAATGATATCACATCACGTTATGAAGAACTCATTCTTTGAATTTATTGAACCCAATAGGGGAATCTATTTTCTCTCTCTTTTTAATCTCATTCTCTGTGCCTTATTGTTACTCTGTAAATCGTTTTTGTACTGTATCATTCCTTATATTTGTTTCTTTCCGTCTCTCTCACTCTGTATGGAATTCTCTGTCTAATTGACTGTCTCCCATTCGATTCTCTCCCCTACTCTGTCTGTCTGTCTGTCTTGTTCTCGATCTGTTTATTTCCTTCTGCATTTAAATGCCTTATTCTCCCTGTCTTCTTCAATATCCTTCTCTGTCACCTATATCCTTCTCTTTCGACTTCTCTCTCATGTCCTTTCTATTTTTTCCAGCTCTTTCTATCCCCCTGCATCCTTTAGTTATTTATGCTTTTCTTTAGAAATATTTCACTCACAGTTTAGGAAATCCTTTAACAATGTATTCATAAGCTCTCTAACTTTCGCTCTCAATAGAATATCTGGTATTGATAGCCATGGCAATCGTTGAGTGCCGAGCGTCGATCCGTCGGGTCCGTCACACGGCTGCAGGTGCATTGTGTGCGTGAGGCATGCGTGCTGCATGCAGGTTCTGCATGTAGTATGCTGTGGGTCGCATGCAATACCTCTGCTCGGCATCGATTGGTGCTGACGACGACAATTTGGCATTTGTTTCACTGGTTGCAGCACGACTCGTCGCTGACATTTGTCGCGCCCGTTTATATACGGCGCACAGACATAGATCTGTTTAGACGCTGGCGCTAACTCGATCCGATCGAGAGTAAATTGGTAAACTTACAAACTCAGTTTCACTCGTGAATATTTCGAATTCTAAAAAGTTTTATCTTATAGATACATATATATATATATATATTTATTTATTATAAAAAATCAATAAAAAATGGTGAGTTATGCAATTGAAATGGGAATCTAGAAATGAAGGCGCATCAAGTGTTCCGCAAATAAATCAATTAAATGAAGTGTTTGGCCTTGATTGTGATTGAAAATTGAAAAAATTGTTGAGCAAAGGCAGAGGACATTTGTAGGGCACCCGTGTGCCTGCACCTGTGTCGAATTCTGTCTACACCTCCAATCCGACATGCAGTACTAGCCAGAGACATTCCTATCTAACTAAAGTGCGATTGCATTTTACGATTTATTAACATTAATTAGAGCTACAGCGAATCCTATTTAAAGAACATGCGAATTGACATTTGTGCGCCTAATTAAGCATGTGAGCAATTAGATTTATCTTCTAATTAATTTTCATTCACAGGCCGAGGGGGAGTACGACAAAGATCAATTGAGAAGTATGTACAAAGACAGAAAGAGACAGAGAAATTCTGTAATATTTTTTTCTCATATATCTCTCTTGGTAGTTCTGCGCAATGCGTTCAAAGCTTTCGATCTCGAAGGCACCGGATTTATCGATCATAGCGATGTCTCAGCTATTCTCGAAATTCTCGGCCAAAAACTCGAACCACCAGCTGTGAAAGCTCTGATCAAGGAGGTGGACAAGGGCACCACGGGCAAACTGAATTTCAGCCAGTTTTGCAAGCTGGCGGCTCGCTTCATCGAGGTCGAGGAGGACGTGGGCGCCCTGCAAGCCGAGCTAAAAGAGGCATTCCGTGTTTACGACAAAGAGGGCAAAGGCTATCTGACGGTCGCCACCTTGCGTGGCATTCTCCACGAGCTCGACGACAAAATCTCCAGCCAGGACTTGGACTCGATCATCGAGGAAATTGATGCTGATGGATCGGGAACGGTTGATTTTGATGGTGAGCACTGAACTGAAATGAAATTAATTTAAATACAATTAAAAATTTAAATAAATATTATTTGATTACTCATTACAGAGTTTATGCAGGTGATGACAGGTATGTGAATAATTTATTTATTAATTTCAAGTGTTTTCTGCATGCTGCTTGCAAATACTGCCAAAACTATTGCAAATACTTTTTTATTTGATACGCTTTCCTAAGGTAGCGGATAATTTATGTTTAAGCGTATTTCTGGCTATAAATTTGAGATATATTTGTATGTGTAGACCTGCACATATTTAGGGCATTAGGCAGAGTCCATCTGCGCGTGAATATGTACTTGTGGCTTATTTTGAACTATCAAATCTTTATTAAACAACAAATATGCTTGTGTAAATTTTAGCAAATTAAAGAACTTCCATAAGAATTGTGCAATATTCAAGATAGACGATATTAATCTCAATTTAGTCTCAAATCTTAGTCTTAATATTATACTAAATGAATTGCAATAATGAATGGATGAATACTAAAATGCGAGGCATTAAAATCTTAGTTTAGAGAAAAATATATATTTTCATACTACAATCAATATGTATCTTCAAAAACCTAGAGAAATGTATCTTAAAATCTAGAGCAATGTATCTTAAAATCTCGAGAAATATATCTTAAACAGTAAAAAAATGTATCTCAGGGATGTATCTTTAAAATGTATCTCAAAGATATATCTCAGCAATGTATCTTTAAAATGTATTTCAAAGATGTATTTCAGAAATGTATCTTTAAAAGATGTATTTCAGAAATGTATCTTTAAAATGTATCTCAAAGATATATCTCAGCAATGTATCTTTAAAATGTATTTCATAGGTATATCTCAAAGATATATCAGAAATGTATCTCGAAGATGTATCTCAACAATGTGTTTCAAAGATATATCTTAGAAATGTATCTCAGAAGTGTATCTTATAGATGTATATTAAGTTGTATCTCACAGATGCATTTAAAAGATATATCCCAGCTGTACATTCTTCACAAATGTATCTTAGTCAATTTAACTAGTATATAGTTTGGAAACAATTTACTTCCACTAATTAATTGATTACTTTTTTAATTTAAGGCTAAACTGTTGGATTATCAAATACTTAAGACTAACTTTAATCCTTGGCTTACAACATGAAACGGATGAATTCGATTATGTAATTTCTAATTGAATCTCTTGATTCAGAGTTGAATATATAAAATTGATGCTTTGTTTAACAAAACAGAAATATATAAATGAAAAAAGATATGTTTGTATGTATTATTATTTATGGCTGAAATATATCATGTACAAACATTTTAGCAACATTTTCTGGGTGCTAGTCGAAAATGGTAAAGTGAAAGAGTGAAACGTTAAGAGGACTTTCTCAAAATACTAAAAAAAAAACTATTAAATAATTAACAATTTTATGCTGCGAAATTAACTGTAAAATCGCTTGATTGATAAGCAAAATAATTATCTAAGGATTTTCCGCGTGCTTAAAGACTTTTGCTTGGATTTTCCACAGTAGATGAAAATTTATTAATTATTGAAATTACAAATGAAGTTAAAGTTAAATCGGATTGCTTGAATCATTAACCTTTTGTTCAATTAGTCTTGACTGCCAGCCATGAAATTTGATAATTGAACGAACATATTTTGCGCACAGTTACTGGAGGCGTGGCATTTGTTGGTGTCGAGTGACTGAGTATTAAGCAGTCGCTGCCTTAAATAACTTGGTATGAATCACAGAAATTGATATTTTATAAGTTAGACTAAAAAAACTCAGCATTACGAGTTTTGCTTTATCTATATCTATTTCTCTTTCTAATCTATATAGCTCTGTCTCGCTTTTTCCTGCGATCCCGCTCAGCCTCCATTTGATCTTTGCTGGCGATTGTTGATTTCTGATGAAGAAATCAAAAGTATTCACTCATATATTATATATGTATTATATATCCGGATTTACCGGAAGGTAGCAGTTCTTTTCTGGCGACAAAAAGCACTTCCACATTTTGCAATTCCAATTCCAATTCCAATTGACAACAATCCAAATCAAGTCAAGCAAAGGCAAAGCAATTTAAAATCGATTTAGATCTGCTTTGTTTTGGTTGGGGCTTGGTCGATTTGGCGAGATCTGTTGCTCGTTTAGGTTGCCAACTCTGGCTTTAGTTATTAAGTTGTTGTTTTTTTTTACTTTTGGCGTCCTTGACTAGCTTGGCTTAACTAGTTAATTATAGCACTAATAGACACTCAGCTAGTGTTACGCATGTTTATCAAATGAATTGAATGAATGAACAATTTACTCAGTCAACAGCTTAGTTAAAGATATATAATATAAATATTCCTCAGCGGAGTTACTTGAACTGCTTTGCTCTATGATCTATGATCCACAATCAAATTCAAGTTATATTAAGTAATTTTTAGCTAATTTCTAGCCAAAAGTAATTCCCGTTAGCTTATTCTTATAGCTGCTCCGGCATTGGGTTAAGAGCACAAATTCATAATTTGCATGCGAACCAGACTTAGAAGACTTCGTTAATGTTGCTAATTTAGTCAAAGCTTTTTTTTTTTGGTTTAAGCAATTGTGCCTGCAGTAAGAGCAAATTTAAATAGCATTGAGCTCTGCACCAAAATCGTGATTCACAGTTTTAGTTTGATTTTTGTATTTTACTTTTTCGCAACCTATGAAACGAACAAAGCCAATAAAGCCCCAAAAGTCTTTTGTTTTTCTCAGGCCACATTTGGGCGGAGGTGTTTGGCCGCATAAATAAAAAAATAAGACAAAACAGCAACAAATTCTCTTATTTATTCCAGTTTCTACTTAACGCAGATACAAATCTTTTATTTGGCAAGCATAATGAAACCGAAAGTGAAGGTATTTTAATTGTGGGCAGGTTTTTCACTATGTTCGTAACTCTGCGCATATATACATACGTATATTTCTATATATATGTGAGGGAGAGAGACTATATAAAACTGCTATTAGTACCTGAGCCAGCATATAAACGGATATTGAATGAAATGAAAAAGGTTTTTATAATTATTTATGAGAGAAGCAATCAAACACATTTAACAGCCAAGTGAAGGTATGCAAAATAAACGAAGCCAAAAAAAATTCAATATGAATGCCTTATATTATATGTACATTCTTAATTAATACGACTTTGTCTACCAACAATACAAATGGGTTTGGCTCTGTCCCTTTTACTGGCTGGCTGGCTGGCTGTGCAAAGGTTTTTCTGCTCTTGCCATGTAGATGCTTATCTAAGGTTGTTTAGCTTTTATATTATTGATGGAAAGACTAAGAAAATGTCATTATATATAATATTTTATCTTATTATTGATTTTTGTATAATTTACAATTGATGTAAGAGAAAAATGTTTATTTATTTTATATGACTTTTTAAAATAGCAAATATATATAATTATTATTTGATATATTTATGCTAAGAAAATTTCATTATATATAATATTTAATTTATTTTTACAATTTAATTTTATTATATATTTTTCTATAATTGATGTAAGAGAAAAATGTTTATTTATTTTATATGACTTTTTAAAATAGTATAAATATATAATTATTATTTGATATATTTATGCTAGGCTATTGGCATGCCCAATTCCTATGAATGAGTCGCCGTTTGTATATTTGTTTACATTTAAGCCAGCTGTGGGCAGTTGCATATTGCCAGAGTCCAGATAAATAGAGAAAGGTTCTGGCAAGTACTGCATTATTCGAGAATGGGACACGGCGCAGGGAACAGCTGCGTGCTCTGGAAATTGGCTTTGCTGCTGGCACTTTGTGGAGTTGCAGCCGCTCATATGGATGGCTGGCTGGGCCGTAAGTCAATCGATAAAGACCAATCCGAGCTAAGCTAATATTTTTCTCAAGTTTGCCCAAGCACCACAGTGCGGGTGGACTGCTTGCCGGGCTGCCAGCTGATCTGCTCAAGTATTCTCATTATACGAAGGTGCATCGCATTGGAATGCAGGCCGGGCTGTGCGTGTCCGTCGGGCTGGGTGCGCAAGGGCTCCATTGAGGGCGTCTGCATGAAGCGCAGTACCTGCAGGCGCTGGGTCCTATGAAGATGCCCCGCCCCCATGCAGTTAAACAATATAAAGTGAGCTGAATAGGTTTCACCAGGCAGCCTTAAGTCGTGCCGACATTGACCTTGTCCAACCTTGGCCACTCTACCGTTTCAAGCGAGCATCGCAGACATCGCAGACATCGCAGACATCTAGCCGTTACCCGTTCCCCCCTCCGAATGCACTCCAAAGACCACATTTCACATTTGACTGACAACAGATTGGCCGGGGTGAACTACCGATTAAGTGGCTGGGATGAAGCTGCAAATCTTCAAGTGTGCACAGACAATATGTAATCTGTGTCTAGCTCTATGTATGTACGTCTGTTATTATGTAAGGCTTTCATCAAATAGCGTCATTTGATTATTATCTTTACCAATTTGTGGGAAGAGTAATATCTATTGCCTATTCAGTTGACTTTTTAAACAATTAAATATCGTATATATATTTTATTATAAATTTATGTACATACATTTATTCTATATCAAATAAATATAATAACAAAAAAAAAATATATATATATATAATAATAAAAAATATATATAATAAAAAAAACTAAATTAATAAAAAACTATAATAAAAAAATTATAATAAAAAAAACGAACAAAAAAATATAATAAATATATCAAAATATATAAATATAATAAAATATATAAATATAATAAAAAAAAAAAATATAATAAAACAAAAATAAATATAATAAACAAATTAAATATAATAAAGAAAAATAAATATAATACAAAAATAAATAAATGCAATAAAAAAGTAAATAAATATAATAACAAAACAAATATATATAAATTTAAATATATAAATGTATTAAATTACATATTTACATTAAGACATACATATAACTAGATCTCTACGTACATACTTACATCAACATACACACACACACGTTTACAGAGGCAACTCACCAATACTTGAAACACTTGAAAAAAAAAACATAAAAACACTTGCCAAAAGGCACGACAACCTCGAAGGCTTACTTGAATTTTTAGAATCGAGGAGGAGGGCATCACCAAAAGTGCATTGTCATTCAACTTTGTCATTCAACAAGCAAATTTATGTGTACAAAGGAGCATAAATGTGTTCTTACTCACACACACACATACGCAAGTGCATACAGCCCATATATACATAGATGCATACATACATACGTGCATATATACATACATCTGCAGCTGTATATATGTAAATAGAATATGCAAAAATTATTGCTTGCAATTAAGCAAACGAAAAATATTAAATAAAATTATACATACATACATACATGCAAGCATTGCATACATACATACGTGCATACATCAATACCTAAACATACATTTTTGTCATTTAAATATCGAAAAACAACGGAAGCTTAGTTTTACGATCATTGTGGCAGCTTATCTCTGCGCATATCGTATACGATATTCGAGCAGCTAATCCATTTGAAAATCTTACGTGCGTTGCATTTATTTATTTATTTTTTTTTCGCACGCATCACATTCAGCAACAAACAAAAGTTCACGAGTTCCGAATCGAAAATTAGAAAGAAAAATAAAACAACAATTATAAATTGATTGAATGCAATAAAATAATCCCATGGAGCGATGCATATTTAACTCGACTTAACATATTCCTGTTAAATTATGTACATACATATAAGTAGCACGTCTTGTTAATGCTTTGCATTTCTCTTAGCGCTCGGCTCTCTTGGCTGAGAAAGAGAGCTTCGAGAGCTTTTCAAGCTTCGTGAGCTTCAAGTTGAGCTTAAGCTGCCCGCCCGGGGGCTGTTGTTGTTGTTGTCGCCGAGTAACTGTAGCTGCAGCGACTTCTTGCGCTCTTGAAGCCATCGCGTGATTCACTTTTAGCCATTCCCCGACTGTTCGCAAGCTCGACCGCAACAGCAGCTTGCAGCGGCTTGTTTCTGCGCTCGAAAGATTTTATATAGTCATACGGGTCCGGCTAGTGCTTCAGTTTGGTGCTTAGACGCGGTGCGCGTGCCTCGAAACGCTGTACAGCAATTGGAATTTCGTCTCGATTTGTGAAATTGCGTTAAGTGGCCACAGCTAGCGATAGATCTAGACCGCTTGCCAAACCAAAAGAAAATTTCGTCGAGCCCTTTGTGGCAATATCCTGTTGTTACTTTTGGCTAACAACAGAAAAC